ACGTCGAAGTACATCACCGCTTTTTCGTGCTCAGATTCCATTGAGTAGTAGTTTCCAACAACGCAGCACGTTTCTGGTCGGAACTTGTCCGTAGCGGTGGCTAGCTGTGCCACAAAAGCGAGTTGCGGCCGGGCACCCATCACGTATAATATGTTTGAGTAATGATCAAGACCATCCAAACGGTGAGGATAACTGATTAGGAGCTCTGAAAACAAATGCGATGCCTCCTCAAAATCTGTTTAGATGTTAGTAATTCGTATCGCATAATGTACGCCTGGAGAGGAAAAAGGGGGCGGCTTTACCTTTTGAGTGATAATAGAGCAATGCGCGCTGGGTTTTAAGGAACGCACTAAAAGGAAAGATACTTTCAAGCTCAGTGAGCGTCTGGTATGTTGCTTCTGTTGCTTGGTAAAGCTCTTGGCTGGAATAGAGGTGGAATATTAGGGTCATTATGTTGTGTGGCAGATTCTCAGCAATTCGCTTCAACTGTTCAAGGGAATTAGAAAAAGGTGATATTGCAAAGATTGGCCACGTACATACATCGTCCGTATTCGTTAAAAGATCATTCAACTCTTGCCAGGCGCCCCAATGAAAGGGGTATAAGTGTACACTTTTAATTAGCCATTTCTTTGCTTCTTCTTCGTTTTTGGCCTTTAAAAGGATGACGCCGTAAAGATACTCTAGCCATCCTTGACCGCGAGACTCTAGACCCTGTTCACGACGATCTGCGAACCAGCCCTCGAGTCCCTGGGCGAGAGCATGTAGCTCACGATTCACCGTCATTCCCCCATCCACCGGCCCGAGAATCATTTCTGTTTCTTCATCTTTCCGCTTTTCTCCTGCGAGATATTTGGCGTATAAAGCTAGGAAAAGGGATTTCTGACTCAATGGCGGGAACGGATTCTTAGACGTCGCTCTACCCTTACCAAACGACACTGACTTCTCTTTCCCCTTCCGCGACGCCAACGGTGACTTTATTTTTGACGTGGAAGTGGATGATTGCAGTGCGAGAGGGATGGCAGACATCGAAGGAGGGAGGAAGACGGCCGCGCAACGGTCATATTCGCGAGTGTCAAAGTACGATTTGGCAAGAATATATTTGTGAGCCTCCTTAGCTTCCAATGCAGAGTCATCCGGATCGGAGTTGCTTAGAAAGGGGTTCTCTATAGCGGACGGGGAGAAATCCATTGGTGAATCAGGCTCTGTGTCTGCATCATCGTTGTCAATGGGAACTAGCGAGTTGAGCATTTCTGCAGCCCTTGAAAACAATGCTCAAGTCAGCAAATATGTCCCTTATTTCGGTCATAGCGGAAGGTGGACGCATACCACTTCGCTGACTGGTACAAGCATCGTTCCGAGCATTTTAAAGCCGCGTCCTCGAGCCTATGGCGCAGCTCTAGGATGTTGTCTTCACTAAAGTGTGCCGCCATATCAGGAAGAATAGGCGCCCGATATCGTAATTCAGCTATGTCAAGCGCCCAGGACTAAGCATCACCGTTCCCCTCGTAGCCTTAGGGGTATATAATGTTTCCGCAGCCAATGGTAGTTCGATCGAGTGGGAGGACAGCTGGTCTTGTATCTCGGAACGTGAGACGTCTTCTCTTCTGTGAGGTAGTTATAGCATCAGCAGCCAGTCCTATAATCATGCCAGCTGTGAGGCGGCCATTGACCGCAATCAGCTCAAGTGTTCTGTCGAGAGATTCTCGCCGGCGACGTCGTTCAGTGAGTTGGCAAACGGCGAGAGCAAACATGACAAACACCAGGGACAACTCTTCACCCCCGCCGCCTTTTTCTCTCTGCAAGTTCGCTCTCCTTCTCCTTGAACCGCCAGAGCTATCTTACCCCGTTGCTCTCTTTTCGAAGCTGGATTAATAGAAACGATGGCGACAAAGACGAGTCGAGCTGATTTCGAGGCGGTCTTTCCCTCTCTCGTGCAGGACCTGAGTGAGCATGCACAGCAATACGGGGATCCCTACCACAGCTTTGGAGTGGTACCAACGGGTTTGTCAATGTCTTCCCCCCCCCGCCTACTCCATACGCGATAGCTAATTTAATTGTTTATAGTCTCTTAATGCGAACACTCCCGGTGGAAAGCTCAATCGCGGCCTCTCCGTCCCCGACAGCGCCCTCTCCCTCCTCAGCCAACCCCTGAATGAAAAGCAGTTCAAGGATCTATGCACCCTTGGCTGGCTCACAGAGCTTCTACAAGCTTTCTTCCTCGTCTCCGACGACATGATGGACGCCTCCATCACCCGTCGCGGGGAGCCTTGCTGGTATCGGCGCGAAGGTGTGGGCATGATCGCAATCAATGATTCGTTCATGCTCGAATCTTCCATCTACGTGCTTCTCAAGAAACACTTTCGCTCGCATCCTGCATATGTCGATTTCCTTGAGCTTTTCCACGAAACCACTCACCAGACCGAGCTTGGCCAGCTCTGCGACCTGCTCACGGCCCCCGAAGACCACGTGGACCTGAACAACTTCAACATGAACAAATTCACCTTTCATCGTCATCTACAAGACTGCTTATTATAGCTTTTATCTCCCGGTCGCGCTTGCGCTTCACTACTTGGAACTCGCAACCCCCAAAAACCTTAAGCAGGCACACGACATTCTCATCCCGTTGGGTGAATATTTCCAGGCCCAGGACGATTTCCTTGACGTCTTCGGTAGGCCAGAGCAGATTGGCAAAATCGGCACCGACATCCAAGACAACAAGTGCTCCTGGGTGATTAACCAGGCCCTTCTACGCTGCTCGCCTGAGCAGCGCAAGGTTCTCGACGAGTCTTATGGCCGAAAGGACAAGGATCTCGAAGCCAAAGTCAAGGTTGTTTTCAATGAGTTGGACATTGTCCAAGTCTACCGCGACTTTGAAGAAGAGCAAGTTGGGAAGATCAGAGGCCTTATCGCTGCCATTGACGAGTCTGAGGGGCTGAAGAAGGGGGTCTTTGAAAGCTTTTTGGCGAAGATTTACAAGCGTGATAAATGATGAGCTGGCTGTTGTTTTTTTTTAATCCCATAATCCGCTTAGTTTCTTCAAATATCGATATCCTAGCTAGTCTCTCATGCGTTTGAGGTTATGCAATAGAACAAGATTATCGAGCATGCGTAGATATTCGAGAGTTGTGTTCTCTCACTTCATCCTCTGGCTACCATTACAGAATGCAACTTTATATCAAGAAACAATCTTCTCTACAAAATGATCAATGGCAATATGTCCCCACGCGCTTTTGAGGTAGGAAAAAGCCCAATCCTCCTCTCGTCTAGGGTACATTGTATGGAGAGTCTTGACAAACTCTCAGCTGTGCCATCTGCATCTGTGAGAAGCAGGTTATAGCCCAGCTTGACTACAATTCAAGCTGTACAACCGCTCGGGAGAAGTGGTCCCAGAGAGCTTTTCCATTTTGCAAAGCACTAGAGACCGCAGGGCAAATTGCGCGATTGTCATCTCTGACTCTGGCTGATAAGCAATCTCGCCCATCACTATCTCTGCGTGTCTGCAGAAGGCCATGTACTTTAGACGCCAGAGGCTGATACAGCTTCTGTTGGGAAGCGCACCGCACGCTAACTGGCAGATAGATAGATGAAACTTTGCGATGTCATAAATTGGGTGTTCAGTTATTACTCGATCAAACATATGAAATAAACGGACCTCAACATCGCATCAGCTAGTTAAACTTGAATACAAAATAGAATAAAGATACACAGCAACAATCCCATAAAAGGGTTATGGTATAAATGCCAGAAACACTAAAGCCACGGTTAGAAAATCCACACTGGAATTGAGTCAAGACTTTGCATCCGAGCTCTCATCGATGGACAGCAGTGCGCTTGAAGAGACATATCGGCAATAACGACACTTTCGAGATGGTCAAGCACAGTTAGCTTCCGTTAGGAGCCGTGTCTCGATCCGGCGAATGGGGAGCTTCGACTTTTCCCTTTGTCCTAAGAGCGACCGGGAAAGGGTACTCGTCGGGCTCTTCTTCGTCACTCCTTTGGTAAGATAACTGTTAGTGAGGTTTACCAGAGTAGTGAATAAAGGCAGAGAGAGCATTGGAAAATGACGGGGAGAAAAACACCCAAACATACGGTAACTTCCATGATATGTAATCATCGGTGCTGAGGCCTTCTCGTCCTTCCTGAAGCGAGGCAAAATCTCCGGGCGTCATCATGCCCGTTCGGTCGCGCGGTGAGCCTGGGATGGAAAGCGGGCGGGAAATCTTTTGCTCCGTTCCTCCAATGATATCACGGAAATCTTCTTCTGGGTCAAACGACATTGGATATGCTGTCAAGGGATTGATCAGCGTGGGTAGCCGTCTAGTCAAAACAATGAAACATACCTCGTCTAAGAGCTAATTGTCGCGCTTTCACATACTCCATCCCCATCCTCTTCCAGTCCAACAAATCGCTCAATCTTTCGGTTCGGTTTCGCTGGTTAATGCGCTGCCGTCTGCTCTTAGAGGCAAAGTCAAACATGTACTGGCTAAGCTGGTTAACCGAATCATCTACCCCCTTCAAGCGGCGGTCGACAATATAAATCCCATAATCGGAGGAATTCTCAATCAGCTCCTCCATATAACATCCGAAACCTGATAGGTTCGTAGTGATGCTAGGAACCCCCATCACGGTACACTCGGCCGGGGTATAACCCCAAGGTTCGTAATACGATGGGAAGACTCCAAGATTCGTTCCACGAACAAAGTCGTCATAGTCCAATGGAAGGACTGGGTTCGAAGAGTTCAGGAACTCTGGGTGGAACACCACCTTCACTCGGTCAGTAGGATAGTTGAACAATTGCACTCGGCGAAGCTGATTCAGAATCGGGTCTTCTGGATCGTTAAGCATGTTGTGAGTCACGATTGGGGGTAGATTATGCCGCTTCATGGCAAAGAGCCGGCGGCGGATCAGGACGCGATCCTGAGCAGTGATGAGATCTTTCTCATCTGGCATGTTATCGCCTTCATGCCAGCTCAAACATCGCTCAAATAATCTCTTTCCGATTCCCTTCTCTACCATCTCCAATGTGTCTCGCAACGATTTAACAACGGCTTGGCCTTTGAGCGCTTCAACAGTAAGCGATGATGTCTGAGCAGGCATGATAATAATGCAACGACCGTGGTAGAGGACCACGCCGCTCGTCATCTAATTGGTATGGTTGAGACGCGCAAAGAATTCAATGAAACATATCCACACCCCTTGTTTCGGTATTCATAGCGGCCAGCGATGAAGAAGTACAGCGTGTTCTCGAGGTCAAAATCGTTATGGCCGTAAAAATTGCCTCTGACGAAATCATGTATTTTCTCCTTGGAGTGAGAATGCAGGTTCTGAAACTCGTGGACAGCCGAGAATTTCTTCACATTGAGGCCGTTTGGCAAGACGCCGTCCGGCTTTCGTTTAAGCAGGTGTTCGCTTTCGTATGCGGTTATATGCGAGACGGTAGTGAAGACATCCGCTGAATGTGCGGCTGCGCGTTCAATACAGTATCGATGATAGATTCCTCGCTTTCCGGCTTCAGCATCGACGTCGAAATTCTGCAAATTGTTGTAAAAGTCAACAGACCCAGCACAAAGGTACCTTCCGAGAAGGGTGGCATGCGTAGTAAAAATAGTCGTCATATCCATGCGTCGCTTCTTGGTCAAGGGCAGGGCCACGCCTGCAAGCCATTCGTGGAAGTGCGCGATCACCGCACGATCGGTGTCTCTACAGATATACTAGACAAACAATCAGCTTTTAAGCTAGTAGGAGGGACGGGGGGAAGTGAAAGCAAGACTACGCACCTCTCCGAGGAACCAGGCAACCAAATATCCAAACACAATAGCTTCGTTCGTTTCGCTGTCTCCAGCAGGAGACGGAATACCGGCAGCATTCCAGAGGTCGCCTTTCCATTCGTCGAGGTACTGATAGCCAGCACTTGTATCAATCAAGATAACTCGAGGGGCCCCTTCAATAAGCCATCGCCCGTATTCGATTTCGATTCCTCTCTCCTTCATCGCATCAATCGCTCCCAGCAGCTGTGGGTTGGTGGGAGCCAGTGGCTCAACTTCGACTACAGCCTGGATGATCACTACCAGTTAGCACAATTGACAGGCTATCGAGATAAGAAGCTGAGCGACTATACCGAAGCTCGATTTAACGGCCCGATCAACGTATATCGGTCGCCATACTCAGCGGTGGTCACCGGAGCTTTCGACTTCAAAACCGAGTAGATGCCGCCGACTTGTGCGGGGGGAACAGCGATTAGCTCTCTTTCCCAGATGTTAGAGCTCACGATGGGATCACGAAACCACCAACCTCTGTTCGCTACTTCGGTAGACACTTCGAATAGGATGTGTTCTTTGACATCGCGTTTCCGTGGTGGCGGGCGCGCACCGTCTGCAGCCATGACGTCGTTTGTCTCGAGTCCGTGAACAAGCAAGCAGCCCAGCAGTCAAAGGGCAATTCAGAATTAGAGCGATTCGAAATGATCGAGGGCTGGGGGTAGATGGAATGCCAAAGAAGAAACAAAGGGTTAAGGTGGGAAAAGAGGGAGTCGGTTCTCCCCGCCGGTTCAAGATGTTTGTCTGTTGATCGCAGCTCTTCGTCACACCGGATCACGCTCTCAGTCAGGGTTGCTAACTAGCCCTGGGCCTGTTCAACCCAGCAAAACTTGGCAGGCAGCCGTTACTTGTTTAGCTGATTGATGCTCGCTAGTTCATGGACGAGATGGAAGGATGCTCGAAACTTGGAGCGCATTGGCACTACTGTCTATATACGTACTCACCAAGTCCTGTTTGCCAGATGCAACCATCGTCCCCGACTTGGAGGACTAGCCATTTATACGGTGCAAGACAAGCTGAAGGATTGCTGCACACTGTTACCCCCTAATTGCAGCCACAAAATGTACAAACCAAGCACCAAGTCCTGGAGATGGTGTCCACTAGATATCTATGTATCCTGTGAGATCAATGGTCATAGCCATGGAAAGACATGGTCAGATTGAAAACCGTAGGCTAGCATCAATCCTTCAACTGTAAGCGCAGTGGCACAAGAATCGCAGAAATGAGAGTCAGCAACAGCCTACAGGGCACTTGTTAATGGAACAGGATGGAACTGCACCAGACAACAGGCGGAATAATGGAGGCAGCATTATCCCTAACTACTCCATAATAGTTAGTTAGTTTAGAGTACGATTTTCATGTCGCCCAAATCCCTCCGCTGGTGTTCTTCGGACTGGACCAGAAGCCGGAACCCGTCGCGACATCGGTTTACAAGTCGAGACGTCCCAGCCATTGAACTGCTCTCTTCAAGTCTGAGTCCAATTGCCGGGATGCTGGATCCCTGGGCCGCAATTCGGTGGTTGGACTCGCGCCAAGTCCGCCGCAGAGACTTTTCTTTCAACGTCAGTCCACCATCATCCGCAACTCACAACCCTCCAGCATCGCCATTTCGTTCGCTTGATGCTCTCTCTTCCATCTTCCACGTTCTGCGAGCGAAATCCATGCCCATCCAACATCCTTTCCCGCGACTCTACCCCATCGTATCGCCACCGGACGCACCACGCTGCATCGCCCCTCGGGATACGTCGAGGCACCAAAGCTGCCATGCGAAATAGGGGTTGGGGACTCTCCGTGCCATAGATGCGCAAGCACAACTGCTTTTCCTTTCGACACCCAGATGAAGCGTGCGCTTCGGTACTGTAGGCTCCCTTTTTCGCAACCGTCCCCATTCAGCGTCGTTTGTCCGCTATATCAACTGTGGTGCGTATTTTGAAGGTTTGCCGAAGAAAACTTATGCCGTTGTATTGTCGTGGCTATTCATCGCCATTTTTGAATGATTATAGGTGAATCATTCTTGTTTAAAGTCTCCTTTCTTCCTTTATTACCAAGAGGCAGGGTATTCAGGCCCTGGCGCTCCTTTCCTGTTCAGATCGCCAATAACCTGAAAGGTTATGGCCGCTGTAGTGTTTTGTGCTCTATCATTTCGTGTTGTTTAGATGACTGGACTGTTTTTAACCGTGCCAGGTTAGAGAGAAAAAGGCTTGATAGGCGTCTCTGGCAAGAGCCGTGGACGAGGGAGGGGAAAGAGAGTCTGATGTCGCTAGAACTCGAATGCGAATTCGCCCAAATTCAATACGGAGCAGCTAGAGCCTTGCACCATCAGACTATCAGGCCAATATGGGAAGCCACGCGCCCAATTTTCCAGCTTATAACGACACCACGTGCACCCCCCCTTTGGTGAGAAGGAACTTCTGTCTGCGCAAGCGCAGGCGTCAAGCGCAACACATTCCTGGCCTCGAAACGATTATCTGTTGGTATTGGGAATATACAGCACCTATACAGCAACTGCGAATCACTTTCGAGGCAGTCAGGAGTGTGTTGCGTGGATAATTGGAGGAGGTGGACTACAGAAGGCACCTTATAAATGGTTTCGGGACGAAATTAAGCGCACAATCCTGCCTGGCCTAGTGGGAAGAGCGTGAGACCAGCTTACAG